AACCGCTACACCACCGCTCCCCACACCGCACACATACTGACACACACATTGACACACACACTGACACACACATTGACACACACACTGACACACACATTGACACACACATACTGACACACACTTTGACACACACACTGACACACACATTGACACACACATACTGACACACACACTGACACACACACTGACACACACACATTGACACACACATTGACACACACACTGACACACACACTGACACACACATTGACGCACATACTGACACACACATTGACACACACACTGACACACATTGACACACACATTGACACACATACTGACACACACATTGACACACACACTGACACACATACTGACACACACACTGACACACATTGACACACATTAACAAACACACTGACACACACACACTGACACATACACTGACACACATTGACACACATTAACACACACACTGACACACACATTGACACACACACTGACACACACACTGACACACACACTGACACACATACTGACACACACACTGACACACATTGACACACACACTGACACACACACTGACACACATACTGACACAAACACTGACACACACATTGACACACACACTGACACACATTGACACACACATACTGACACACACATTGACACACATACTGACACACACATTGACACACACACTGACACACATTGACACACACATACTGACACACACATTGACACACACATTGACACACATACTGACACACACACTGACACACATACTGACACACACACTGACACACACACACTGACACACACATTGACACACACACACTGACACATACACTGACACAAACACTGACACACTGGTTTCGAGGCGCCTCTCGCCTTCACCTTGGGCTCGCCCCTTCCCCAGCCCGACTCATCTCTCGCTGGTCGACAACCAAACGTTGCCGAGGGGGGAGTGGGCGGTGGAAAGCGATGCAGATGATTGGGAGGCCACGCAGCCCAAATGGTGGCCGAGACATTGTCAAGGGGTGGGGGGGGGCTGCGAACTCTGGAGTGGGGGGGGGGGTGCTGGGGGAGGTGACGTCACACTCAACGTTCAAGAAACTTTTAGCGAACGTTAAACGCCACGCAGAATGGGTAAACGATATGACCCGCTTTTGTCAATCGCGCATTCCGCTGTTTTTTTAACTGCTCAAGCTTTCTCTCCTCCCCCCCCCCCCCCCCCCCCTATATTTTTTAGATCATTGCGTTTTAGTTTATAACAATTTAGAAAGGCGGTGGGTTGGGTTTATCTTTGGGCAGGGGGCAGGCAGGGAGGGGGGTGACACAGCCCCCCCCCCCTTCGAATCCCCTAACGCTATGGGCTGCAGCAGTCGCTATCTGGAGCCAATGGAAACGGGAGGCAGATCCACCCGGCTTGTCGGTGTTGCCATGCTCAAGTGTCTATATTGGGACGTGGCTAATGCGATCACCACTCTATTCCTGTCCAGCCGTTGCCTCGCTCCTGGGCCACCCCCAGTGCCCATTGTGTCTCAGAGGTCCCCTCTGTGCGCGTTGAGACGGGATCGAGCGGTCAAGGCTTGAATGCGCCGATGTTTTTCGGCGTTTCGTCGAAAACGTGCACGCCGCTGCCGCGAGGAGCGATTCGCGTCGGGGGCTCGGAAACGGAGAAGCGAGCGAGATTTTACATGAACGTAAAAACAAAAAGAGAGAGACTAGGTGCCACTTACGCTCGCAAAGCGGGTCGCGAAATCCGATTTGTAAAAACACCGGGAGAGTTTTTTTTCTTATTCTTCTTCTGAACAGCGGCGTACATGTGAATATTTAATTGACGAACGATCAAGATGATGCGGCCAAACAATGCGTTGGCGGTGACGCGTCACTTCGGGAGGGGCGCATCGCCACGTGCAGCCCCGCACACTCAAGGCGCTGTGGGTCACGTTGGTCGTTTACGTGAAAGTTAACAATGAAAGATGTTCGGTGAACGCGGTACTTTTCATTCGTGTTCATTTGGTTATTTTACGAAGTGTCGGTTTAACGCGTAAGGCTTTGGCGACCAATGTTATCCACGATTCAGAATTTTTTTTTTGGGGGGGGGGGTGTTAGATCGTACCTGATTGGCTCACAAGTGATGACATCACATTTACCGCCTCTATTTAAGACGGAAACAAGAGGATTTATCCACAACTCTGGCTGTCGCCTGATGGTGCTGGTTGTTGTAATCACCGGCGAAACGTCACGGTACTGGAATTGTAAATGCTGTGGGTTTTACTCTCCAACACACCGATGTGCTGAAACTTGTAACGAATTGGCACGTTTTATTTACATGACAAACCTTACTAGTTGGCTGTGTTAGGTGGTGGCGGATTTAACGACACATTTATATGTACACCATCTCACCCAAAAAAAACCTAGATTTACGAAGTGTGTTTGTGGTTCAGCGGTATATAGCGAGCGGCTCGCAAGAGCGAGGTTACGAGTTCAAATCCTGGTTGTGGGTTGTGTAAAATGAGTACCACTTTGTGGGAAAGTCAAGAGCGGTTGTGCTATGTGGATATTCGCCCCTGCCATGGGAATGTGGAGTTTCCACCACCGGTTCAAGAGTTGTGAACAGACGATGCGCACTGCCTCAATGCTCGTTTCAGCAGGAAATCACCAAAAGCATGTTAGTGTGTGTGTGTATGGGGAGCGGTAGTGTCGCAGTTAGCGCTACGAACCTGCAGACCCAGGTTCGATTCCCGCTCACGGCCAATACCAGTGACAATTATCTGAATCGGTCCTGGACCTTCCCTAGGTCGACTCAGCCTCAAATGAGTACCTGGTGCGGTGTGTAAACATCGCCACGCGGGAGACAAATGCGGTCGGGCCTGATGATGGCCACCCACCCCCTGTGCGCCGTTATGGCCTTCATATGTGTTCGCTAACAGCACTTGCCCCAACAATCTGTTTAGGCTATACGGGGCGTCTTTGTGTTTGCCTTTGGAGCTGTCCATAAATGACGTCACGCACCTAGGGGCGGTCAGACATTTGTGACGATGTGTGACGATGTGTGACGAGGGGGGGGGTTGAGAAATGTGACGTCACATCAAAATGCGCAACTTTAAATAAATATAGACATGTTCTACTTAATTAAATAGACTTTTTAATAAAATGTTTTCTCCTACAACATCAGAGTGCAGCGCCACATTAAATACGCACTACAATGACAATCGTTCAAAGCGATTTGAAGCATACTCTTTGGTTCTATTGGGTAAAGTCACGTAGGTGAAAATAAAATAACAAAAAATCACGACGTTTCGGCCACAACACAAGCGGCCTTCATCAGGTGAAGGGGCGAGACTGTCTGGAGGACAGCGCTGTGCTTTTTTGTTATTTTATTTTCACCTACGTGACTTTACCCAATAGAACCAAAGAGTATGGATCCTAGCAGTAACGAAAGCTTTAAATCTAGAATCGATTTGAAGCATGTTTTATATATATTTTTTGGGGGGTGGGGGGCAGAGCTTTGTGACGTCATATTTGAGGTGGGGTCTGACTTTTTGTGATGCCGTGTGACGACGGGGGTGGGGGGGGGGGGTCAAAAATCGTCCAAAATCGCGTCACGTAATTTATGGACGGCCCCCTTGAAAGGATAAATATTCAGTTACAACTTTTGTGCGCACGTGTTGAGATTATTATAGTCATTGTATTTCAGTTTTAGAGTTGTATTGTTATTGTTTTAACGGTAACAACGGCTTTAATTCGTAATTTCTGTTTTTAAATCAACGACTAGAATTATATATATGTATGTAAAATCACGTGTTTCATGAGCAACTGGTAGCAGCAGGTTTTACCTTCTCTCTATCGACTGAAGCATTGCACCCCAAAGGGGACACAATTTCCTTGTTCACTGACAATGAGGGTCATGAATTTCTGTTTTAGAATGAGGCCTAACGTAACTTAGAACTTTAGACTTACCCAGTCCTGGAGTGAAATCAATCAACATCTTGGATGTGATTTTATGGGGGCACATAAACGAAAGAGGTCAGCTTTCAAACTCACCTCGTCATCAAAGTAGACTAAAATTAGAGTGCCACATTTTCAACCTCTCAGTCCATCTTGAACGTCGTTAGACTCTACGTCGGTTGTTCATTCACGGGCAGCTACAATAGTTATGGGACTTTTAAACATTCCGCGATGAAACAATTGTCGCAGCGCTGACACTTTGTATGTCACGCGGAACTCTGGCGCCAGGGGGAATGTTTTTTTCTTCCAATTTGCCCCCAGGAATGATGCCAGGAACACGAGTGAGCCCATACCATGCCATCAGCAAAAGGCCCCCACGGATTACGATCAGTTCGTGGAATTGGCAAATCTATACCTGGGAGTGGAGGCATCCAGCCAGCGCAACAACATGCGGAAAATCAAAACACTCAAAACACCGTTCGGTGTCTCGAGCTCAAAACACCGTTCGATGTTTTGAGCTCGAGACCCAACGTGGCCCCGTGTGTTTTTCAACTTGCGCCGCCCGACGGGGGAACATCCAGATCCAACGTTGCTTGGAATGAACGACGTTGTTTACTCAAAAAACAAAAAAAAATTAGGTTGGGATACTTTTACACGACGCCGGTCGCGTGACTGGGGCAGCTCGTGACTTTTTGTTGCGAGGCCGTCGCCGCCGCTGTTGCTGCATCACGGTCGTCCCCAGGCGGATTCCGGACGGTACGTATAAGGAGAATGGAATCTGATGCCGCAGAGACCATGTGATTCCTGGGGGCTTTAAATAGGGAGCCAGCAAAGTGCACGGCTCTCAGAATCCAGCTGAAGGCGAAAGCAACTCGCGGCGACTCACAATAAGGGAATCTGATCCGCAAGGATAAGACGTTAGAGAAAAAGGGAGGCTGTCAGCATAAGCCAGTGTGACTGTGCTGCTGCTGCTGCGGCTGCTACTTGCTACTCCTGCTGCTAATACTCCACGAGTAGAAAGGGAGCAGATCTCTCTCTCTCTCGCTCTCTTACTTGCGTTGGAAATGGAGTACTCGTCGCTACTGAAACCCACGGAGAACCTCGAGAACTTGGAGAGACAGCTTATGTGTCCGATCTGCCTGGAGGTTTTCTCCAAACCCGTCGTCATTCTGCCGTGCCAGCACAACCTCTGCAGAAAGTGTGCCAATGATGTTTTCCAGGTGAGGCATTTTTTTGGTATTTTCTCCCATACTTTAAAAAAAGTGTTTTAAAGTTAAGTTAACCAGTCACTGTTATCAGCATGATCATAACATCACCTGAAGACGGTGGCTTGTGTTGCGATCGAAACGTCGTGATCTATTAATAATTTTATACCTACTACGTGACTTTACCGAAAGAAGCATAGATTATGGATTCCTGCAGTCACGAAAGCTTCAAATCAAGATATAATAACTGCTTGACTAAATAAACATACGTTTTTATATTTACTCAAATACAAGTACTTTTAAGTGGTATGTGTTATTTTTAGTTGTCAATAACGTCGGCCTACAATGGTTTAAATTGAAATGTTTTACTTTGCATGTTAAAGAAGCAGAGATATAGTAAAAGTATGCATTTTAATATATGATCTACCTCATGTGAGAAGTACATGAAAGGCATTGTCTTGCAGAACACCGAGTTTTACAGTATTTAACTTTAATGACAAATCTATGATTTTCCTTCCTAAAATGTTGACCACCTTAATTTTCCGACAAATTTTTTATGATTGTAGTTTTTTTAATGTTGCCCTTCAACCACTTGCACGTAGAGGCACAGCAATTTAGAAACCTGTTTTTAGAGGCAGCTGTCCCAGAGTTGTCACTTCGCCTCGCTTAAAATAGCGGTGAAAAACGGAGTCCTCTGAGATTAGGCCCGTGAGTAGGCAGGATTTTCCAGCATTTACCATGAGCTCTGCCTTCCGCAACCCATTAATCGTCTAATGACGGGTTGGGCTTTTTCCTCATACTTGCTTTAATCTTGCTCACAGCGTCCCACTTGGGATGCCTCCACATTTGACTAATTTTCACTCATAAACGTGGAAGGTTAATTGACTTTCGCTTGTAAGTGTAATTTGTGGCATGGCCTCCCTGTGGCCCCCGCTCTCCCATATTTCCACCCTCCCCTCTAAGTGCCACCCACCAAACTACACAGCCCTGCAGGGGCGGACGAGCGGACGGGGGGGGGGTGGGCAATTACCCCCCCCCCCACTCCACGTCACCCGTTAAAGTTTAGGCCACCCTTCTAAATGTGTATAGCCAAGTTAAAAACAAAATTGGTACAATATTTAATAGCAGTGACAAATAAAGCTCTGAAATTCGCAGCCATTTCTCATATACATAGGAGGGGTGGAGGCGGTCAGAGGTGGAGCAGAATGTATGGTTGACAAGGGTACATACAGCATTAACACAAATAAAACTAAAGATGTAATCAGTTGCAGTACCATTGTCTACATTGGCTTTGCAGACCAATATTATCAAGAACCAGTTAAGGAAGCAAACTCAGGACCGGTTTCAACCTTCTGGGACTCATCGGCAGAGTTAGGGTTATTGAACGAATTCTAGTGAAATACCAGATGTTATTGGCAAGAGCACTCCATATAAAATTTGGGACTCCATGCAATGCAACGAAAAATAAATAACGCACGCAAACCCATACGATAGGCAGATCACGTATTTAGTCATTCTGTTCAGCGTTTAATATTTACTTGAAGTGTGTTTAACGTTGTGGGCCTCCACCTGAGTTTATATATATGACCTCTGTTTAAAACAAGGTCACACTCTAGAGTTGAGTCCACAATGTGTTCCCCTCGGCAACTAATTAATGAAATTGTAACACGATCAATATAAATTCAATCTACCCGAGCCGACTTACGGTGACAGGGAATGTATTACTAACATTGATTTATGTTCGTGCAATATTTTCGATGTCTCATACGACATCGTTGTTTTTGGGCTAATTTCTACTGTCTTTTTTGCTGTATAATCTTTATTATCTCTTGCAAAAAGGAGTTCTGACCTGGTTAAAGAAGACTAACTTGATCTCAATCAGTCATCATTTTCACTCGATCATCTGCCCGCTCACCCACTCATTCACTCGTTGACCCACTCATTCGCTCACTCAGTCATCCACTCATTCCCTCACCCACCCACACATCAATTCGCTAACTGACTCACTCGCCAATTTACTCATTCACCGACCCACTCAGACGCTCACTCATCCACCGACTCACAAACTCATTCACTCTCCCACTCGTTCACTCACTCGCCCACCCACGCACTCACTCGCTCACTCACCCGGCACAATGCATTTGCCCACCCACTTCCACTCAAGCCAACCCACTCCCGAGCGCTAACCTGCTCGTTCCACTCGCCCGCAGGCCGCCAACCCGTTCATGGTGACGCGAGGTAACACGGTGACGTCCGGAGGTCGTTTCCGCTGTCCCTCGTGTCGCCACGAGGTGGTGCTAGACCGGCACGGCGTGTACGGCCTGCAGCGTAACCTGCTGGTGGAAAACATCATCGACATCTACAAGACAGAGTCCACCAGGCGAGTGACGACGGGGAGCGCGTTGTCACACACTGGCAAACGTGGATCCGCCTTGAACTCACCCGGTCCTGGGGGAGGGGGGGGGGGGACCCTAAGCATGCACATCATGTGTTTCCACCCACCCACAACAACAACAACAACAGCAACAACCGCCAGGTCTTGTGCACTTTAAGGCCACCTGAAAGTGCCGAACGCACCCGCTGGCAGGAGGTGACGGGACAGACCAAGGTGGCTTGGTTTTGACTGACTGAGATGACTGGCCGATGCACCCACCAACACACACATTTTCAGATGCAGACCAGAGGTAGATAGGTAGTGAGACGAGAGGGATACGAGTCGGATGTGGATGGGGAAAACGAACTAAGCGTGTGTTCAAACATGCACGCTCATTAGGGCTGTTTCATTCGAGCTGATATTTGGTTCACTCCTATTTTGTCCATTACTCTCAGGCACCCTTGAAATACGTGGGATCCGAAGCACTTCACCATGCTATGTGCCGTTACTACTCCGACCATAGGAGCATGGATGAAAATGTATTCCGTTCATCTGTTACATTTAATGTTATATTTTAATTGCCCTTTCAATTACAGGCAGCTATAATCAGAAACATCCTGCAAAAAGACTATCGCAGCAGATTGCACCAGAGCTGGCTGTTCAGTGACAACAAAGCTACTCCGACTTACAAGAATACATCTTGTTTCCAGTTATATCTCCTGGGATTTCCCAAAGTTGTTTGTAAACCCTGCTCAATGCCAGTCGAGTGTGAACTACCTACTGTATCTATCTCTTGCACCTGCAGGAGTGCTGATTGTCGCCGGACACTTGGAATTTTGGGGCCTGTGTGCCTTTGTCCCTGCACACAGCAACCGCGCTGACATTATACAGGGTGGCCCAGAGAGTCAAGACACATAGGGTTTCATATTCTTGGTTCTTTCGGTAAAGTCACGTAGAAGGTGAACAATAAAATAATAAAAATAGAAAACAATTTAACACATAGGGTTATTATAGATTTTTTTTATACGCAATTTTTTTAATGTTTAATTTATTTTTGTACAAATATTCAACACCGACTTCAATTAACATTAATACACTAACGAATGCTCTTTTGAAACTAATTTAGGACCTTTTTTCTTTTTAAAGATGTGCAGCTGCCTTCTTCATCGTACATACACGCTGATTGAACGCGCTCGTTTTTTATTCAGTCTTCTTCACGCTGAAAAAAAAAATTCATCCGAAACGGAAGAAGAAAAAATAGATATTACTAATGATAATAGAAAAAAATATATACTTAAAGAATAAGCAATTTTTTTTTTAGGGCAGTGTTAAAATAAATGAAATAACCCTACGTGTCCTGACTTTTCAACCACCCTGTAATGTAGTTACGTATCTATATATATCAGTGCTCGCCAGCAACAAGCTTGCAATGAAGGCTAAGCCGAGTGAATTCGGCTCTTTGTCTTTCGCGTGCCGTTGAAAACCACAGACCGGTGAAAAAGGTGGACCACCCGATGTGCGTAGAGCACGCGGAGGAGAAGATCAACATCTTCTGCCTCACCTGCAGCATGCCCACGTGCTCTCTGTGCAAGGTGTTCGGAGCTCACAAGGACTGCCAAGTGGCCCCCCTGGGGAGCGTCTATAAAAGCCACAAGGTGACCATCACCACCACCCAGTCACTACTGGTACCCCCCCCCCCACCTTGATTTCAGTAGAGCTAATACAAAGGTTCAGCCAAACTAAATAATGGTAAGATTTTTTTTTTAGTATCACTCGTGCTAAATGTTGTGCTCAGGAAATCCACCCGACTTACCTGCTTTATAAGCTGATGAGAAACATGCTGTTGAGGGTACCTATTACTGGACGTCTGTGAAAAAAGAGCTTTATAGCTCTTCGGATTCCTCCAGGTTAAATGAAGATTCTGATTCTGGTTATAGCTGACATGGCACTCGATGAGGGCGGGGTTTGGGCCAGTTCCGTTTCACACCTTTGTCTCCCCATCGCCGGCGTTCACCAAAATAGCGCTTCATTCCAAGCAGTCTTATCAGGGCAGATGACGCGTGGTGGGGTGAGGTGTGGGTGCACCCACCTCTTGCTTGAGTGTCTGGTGGTGAGCTGTGGATGAGTAGATAAAATGCCCTCTCGAGTCACTAACTGGTGGATGCACTTCCACCAGCAATAGCTAGGGTAACTTATTGCATGGCTGGACCTTTGTATTCCCCCCCGCCCCATGTAATAGAGTAAACGGACGTTTGCACGGTAGTCCGTTCTCCTGCAACGCGGTAGTCGCATGCCTGAACAACACCGCGTTATGGAAAAATCGCGTTAGAATAAATAAAATATCATAGGGTAAAGCACAGCCCGCGATTACACGGTGAGATGCATACGCGGGCAGAACAAAGACCGAGGCGCGTGCGTAGCATCCAGAAGCATCCAGCAGCATCCCGACGCCTTGCGCGATGATGCACCGTGGAAGTCGCTGCAACCCGCCTATTCCAACTCGCGCTGCGACGTAGTTCCATTCACTTTTCGCGTTGCATCCAATTCGCAACCGCGTTCGCGAAAAAGAATGCGTTCCCTGAATGCAATTCACCGCGTTGCATCCAAATCGCGTCGTGAAAATCACGCGGCGCGATGGGAGGACAGAGAGTGCCCAAGTGTCATTTGCGCTACGACGTTCACCCCCCCCCACCTCTCTCCCCGTGTCCTTTGATGGCTTTTTTTTGTTGTCGTGCTGTTGCCAGAACGACCTCAGCGACTCCATTTCCAGACTGGTGGCGAGCAATGACAGGGTGCAGCTGATGATCAGCGAGATGGAGCACAGCTGCAAAGTCATCGATGTAAGTGTGACACTCCCCCGCCCCGTTGTCACACGCACGCACGCGCACGCACGCGCACACACACGCGCACGTGCACACGCACGCGCGCACACACGCACGTGCACACACACGCACACGCACGCACACGCGCACGCGCACGTGCACACGCACGCACGTGCACACACACGCACGCGCGCATTGTCACGCTCGCGCTGCTTCATCGCAGCGTTGTTGAAATCCAGGCCGTGACACTCTCGGCTGGCGCACTTCGCCACGTCAGACGTTGCGGAGTTACCGTCACTTCAGTGACAATGAGAACGATATCACCCCAGTGGCGATGATCCCGGAGACTCTCTACGTTCACCGAGTCTCCGTTGTGCTGCAGTGTGGCTGACGCGGCTAAAGAACTCTGGCCTCACGCAGCCGGGGCAAAGATCCCGCAGTGGATTTGTAGTGGGGTTTAAACGTTTTAGTTTTTTTTTATCAACCCAGTCCATTATAACACAGATAAATAATTGTTTACGAGATGTAACTAAAAAAAACAAACCTGTATTATGGATGACATTGGTCGCGAAAACCTACGTGTTAAACAGCCAATTATCACGGCCAGGGTCGATCAAATGAGAGACTGCTTCGTTTGAAGTCGTAAGAGGTCAACCCATGGACGTAACTGGAAATAGGGGGCCCCAATTCATTTATTGCACACACCGGAGGGGTCGGTTCGAAGCACACCGCGCTGCCACTGGGCAGGCAGACCCCGACTCGGCATTTTCATTTTTGCAGTCCTACCCCGAGTCTAGTCGACGGATAGCCGTGGATATATTCCCTCAAGTCTTATCCTGTAGACTTTTGTCTGGTCTTTAAAATAAAGGGAATCCACACACAAACACACACACACACCCACCGACCTAGCTCAAATTCCACAAGTTGTCGCCAAGAGACTGAGAGAGCGAGTAAGCGAGCGGAGCAAAGAAAAAAACACAGCAAAAAACACCCCCACATGACCGCTGACGTTCCGACCAAAAATTAACGCCGATTCCGTGGCTCGTTCCCTGCTCTGTCCGCGGCGGGCGCCGCGCCAGGAGAACAGCCGGGTTCAGAAGCAGATGCTGTGCGAGCAGTTCGACGGCGTTTACGCGGCGCTGGAGGAGAGGAAACAGGAGATGCTGATGGTCATCTCGCAGGAGCAGGAGGACAAGAACCAGCACGTGCGGGACCTCATCAAGCAGTACAACGAGCACCTTCAGTCCGCCTCCAAGCTGGTGGAGACCGCCTTCCAGGCCATGGAGGAGCCCGAGGCTGCGGCGTTCCTCCAGGTCAGCACCGTTCGTCTCCGCCACGCTCGTCACAATCTGTTGGTTGGGGGGGGGGGGGGTGGCGAGAGGCAGGCGGTGCGGTGAGCGGCGAGCGTGCCGCGCTCCGCAAACCCGGCGAGTCGAGTTCGAGTCTTGGCCGAGGCTGACATTGGTGACGGGCGATGTCTGAGCGATTATAGAAACTTCGTTGAATTTTAGATGCGTCACTCGTCCCATACTTCATTTGCGAATGATGTCCTGGGCCTCTGTCTTGGCCACGTCGTCCTGGTGTGGGCAAACGACAGCCACGGCTGGCAAAAAAGCTTTGGTGGTGTCATCATCGTCATCATCATCATAATCCACGAGTAGATTGACAGAGGCCTGCAATATGCAATATGCATTTGCAGGACATGTGGCTTGGCTCGTTTAAATGAAGATGCGTGCAGGGAAAAGGAAGAAAATTACAGGCCTCTTCACATTTTCAGTTTGTCACTCTGAGTTGAGGCCCGTCGGCAAAAAATACTGACTGATGAAAAATGTAAAACGCTTGCGTACGTAATTTCAAGCGTCATCTCCAGACAGTTCTTTTATGTTTATGTCGTTAGGGTAAGTGGATACGGAACACAGGGAGGGCACTTTAGACACGGCGAGTGGGAGTGTTGGTGCAGTGGTTAGTGATCTGCGCTGTGAACATGTTGACCTGAGCTTGAATCAGTCCCGTAACCTAACCCACAATGACCGGCATGGTGAAGTATGGTCAAATGGCCTTTATGACTGACATGGTGTAAAGAGGCCTTCATCCAGCAGTAGCTTATTATTATTTAGATACAGTGATGCGCCTCTTTCATCGGTTGCTTGTCAGATTATTGTTATGGTGCAGACGGACTTGACAACATATCCGAGCGCTGATGGTGATAGATTTTGTCTCAATACAAAACTATCCTTGTCACGAATTTAATATTGTGTTTTTTATTATTATTTACAGAGTGCAAGCGCTCTTCAGAAGAGGTGAGTTGTCTCTTCCATATCCAAGTCTCCTTTCAACTCTATCTATCCCTAATATTGTCACTGAGATTTGTAATTCAGGCACACGTCGAGATAGATATTTAAGTAGGTAATCAAATGAACACTATTCCATCTGTATCTCCACATGATAATGACAATGGTTTGATCCATCAGCCTTTGGGCCTTTCAGACCAATGATATATATAAGAATTGGTTCAAGAAAGTAAACTTCCTGATCTCCTCAGCAGAGTCGGGCTTGCTAAGTGAATGCAGACGAATTGCCAAATATGCTTGGCAAGGACATCCCCTCTTCACTTTGGGAACACTATTCAGTCCGTCTCATAAAATAACTGTATACATATATATGCTTTGTGTACTCCAATCAAGGGCTTTGAGCCTCCAGCCCAACGTTGTCCTGCAGCATTTGTTCTCACAACCAAACTAACTCTGGACCCCCTCGACCTGCTGGTCCTCGTCAGCAGAGTCCGACAATAGAGAGCGAAACGTAGCAAGCCATAGACGGACGCAGACCACACTTCGCCGGGTGGAATTTCAACAAACCGTACCGGCGCACTTCCTTTGCAGCGTCGTCGATGCTACAAAGGGCTCCGACATGCCGAAGATGGAGATGGGCTACGAGAACATGAACCACTTCCTCGTCGACCTGGACAACGTCCAGGAGGCCGTGAGGGGCATTGACTTCGGCAAAGGTGAGAACTCCCAGCCGTGTGGCGGAGGGTGGGATACCATGGTGGCTAGGAGATGTTAACTACCTCGTCTGGTCTACAGGAGGTTCAGAGGTTCAATCCTGAACCTGACGCCTGCTGTATATTTGGATATTCTTGGGTCTTTCGATAAAGTCACGTATTTAGGTTAACATCTTTTTTACAAAAAAGCTACGACGTTTCGATTGCAACATGAGCGGTCGTCTTCAGGTGTTATTTTTTTTTAACCGATCTACGTGACTTTACCGAAAGACCCAAGAATATGAATGCCTGCAGTCACGAAAGCTTTAAGTCAAGATTTATTATTTGGAGTTTGCGTCTCTCTCTCTCTCCCCGTGATCGCGTGGATGCTTTTTCTCCGTGTCCTCCGGTTTTTGCCCTCCACATTTAGAATCAACGTACGTTTAAGAGTATTTAGATTACTTTGATGCCATACATTTGTACATAATCAGCCACTTCGTTGTGCTGGGTGAGGAGGGTGGGGGGCGGGTGGGTGGGGTGTGACGTTGTGACGCAGATTCGCTCACAGTCACAGCAGTTGCAGAATTGTCCCCAAAACTGTGGATTATTCCGTGGAATGAAATGTAACGGCAATCATAAAGCGCATTTCAAACGAGTGGTTTCAAAGCGCTGCACTTTTATCAATTGTCTGGAAGCCCCGGTACGAAGCGAGGTGTCGCATTCACGGTATGCCTTGACAGATGCAGAGGATGAGGACGAAGAGGAGGATGAGGAGGGGGAGGAGGTTGCAGAGTCTGAGGAAGGTAACTCGGACAGCTCAGATGCAGACGGTGAGGCTCACACCACGGGACGTTGAACAGAGTTCACGCCTTGCGGAGTTGCTGCGAAACTTAAAAAGGGTCAAACTTGCCGCGTGCGTTTTCCGTCCAAATGTCACTCGTGTGTAACCGGCAGTTGATTAGGTAACCGTAACAAACACACACAACAATCGCACACCAAACCCATTCAAATGCGTCCCGAATTAGATTTCATCAAGACCGACCTGCGTTGTCTCCTTCGGCTCATTAAAGTAAGAGGGAAAATCTCGAGCCACCTCATCATTCTCATCGCCCACACACGCCACAGCTATATTTTTCGAATTCGTTTGAAGGTCGCCATCGGGAAAAAAAAATACATGACTATACCACAGGGTGGCCCAAAAGTCAGGACACATTTAGTTTAACAGTGGCATTAACACATTTTTATTGTTTATTCTTTAAGCTCATATTTTATCTATCATCATTATGAATATTTTTTTCTCTCCTTCTTCCCGTGGGGGGTCACCTCGAATCTGCCGTTGATAAAACTCCCGAATGGATTGAGACAACAAAACACATTTGACGAATTTTCAACGATTGCGCACACCTGCGATCTTTGTAGCAAAGTCCCGACTTCAATCCACCGTAGCCCGAGAGTCGATTTTGTGCCTCCGTCTCTTCGATGGATGCTCTCTGTGACAACTTCCATTCCTCAGCTGCCACTCCATCATGGGTCTTGACCATCATCGGCTATAGTCCCTCTGAGCTGTGCGTCCTGGCCCAAGCCCCACTTACTTTTCCCGGAGCGGTTTAAATTACGCGTTTAACCTGTCACGTGCGTCTTTGTCTTTTTGCTGTTTGTTTTTGCAGGGATCCACAAGTGATGTCGGCTAAATGGGGGGGGGGGGGGGGGGGATATTGGGCTCTTCTGTACAAGACAAGGCTAATGAAGACGACTGGTGGTTGAAAATGCTGCTGATACAAAATGTATATTTATTATTATAGTAAGTGTGGAAGAATACGATTTCCATTTTTTTTCCAGGGCAATTCTAAGTGGCTATATCAACCTCTTTGGCAACTAAATTGTGGGTGGTTTCAAATTAACTTGAATGTGGGACATTGACATAAATTACATTTTATACTTGACAGTTTTGGTATTTATGATTTTTTTTTACATATGCACGTGTTCATTTTTTGTTTGTTTTGATAAAGTTGAGATGCGTTTTTTTTCCCCCCCTTTGTTGTAGTTCTAAATAAATTGCACTTTGATGAGCCCAATAACAGCACTTGGAGAGAATGTATAAAAATCATCATGTAATGTATTAGATTGTGCAATGCTTTCTGAGCTGTTAAAGGGTCAGTGGTGCACATATTGTAGCCAAGGAGGGGGAAAATTCACCGCCGAATTTCATGCCAGCGACACAATTCACCAACAGCAATACCCCGTGAGGATATGCACAGCCAATGTCCTGGTGTGGTGGCACAACCGTTATTGTATTGATTGATTTTGATCGCTTTTATTTGTCGACGTGGGTAAGAAATGCTCAGCCGTGAGCTGCGTTAGAAGAATGATCCACGGAGGAACTTTGTTAAAAAAAAGAAAGTTACAGAAAATAAATCAAAACATTGCAGACACTGAGTAGCAATGTGCAGATTAGGGGCCGGTGGACCACGTGGAGTTGGAACCGTAAGGTGTAGGAGGCGGTACAGCAAGTGGGTCGCAGACCCTACCTGTGCAGATTTGGAGCGACGTCTCCACGTGTGTGCGGGAGGAGCGGTTGGCGCAGTCGTTATCGCACTGCGCTCCAAACCTCGACACGCCTGAGTTGGATTTCCTGGCCAAGGCCAACGTGAGTTGCGAGTGAAACTGTGATCCGAAGTGGTCCTGTCTCCCTCCGTTCCCCAACCCCATGCCCGCTTCCACCCTCACCACAACCTCTTCTCCGTCCCGAATTGACCAGCCGTGGTGAAGTATCGTAACAAAAAAAAACACGCAACAATCCGCAACCGGTAACCAGCAGTGGATTGGCAAAGGCCTATGAAGTATAATAGGGCGCGCGTGACGCCAGACTGGAGCTGTGCATGAGTCCCATCTCACTACAATTGTGAATTGAATAAAGATACCTGAGGCTTGGCAACCCTCTTGCTGTGACGCGTTTATGGGAGCGAGCAGTTTGACGGGACCTGACTACCTCACCTCTCGGTTTAGGCCATACAGGGCGGTAGAGTACGCAGGCACGGTGGAGATGTTGTCCACATTTCACCCCTGCCGCAAGCGAAGTGCCATCGGACTTGCATTAACGCAGGATGCTTAACAAAAAAATGTTAACACTTTTTATGGGACTATCGTTTTTAATGATGAAAAAAACCCCCCCGGATAATACATAATAGCAAATGTGTAATGTTCATAGCTTCAAAAAGTCAAAGAGTCTCCCACTTGTTCGCCATCGTTGTCAAACGCGTGGCCCGGGATCTTCTCCAGGTGATCTCCAGAGCCCGGAGATACATTTGTCGTGGTTATTGTTGCAAAATTCTCAGAAGCGTTTCACAGTTTTTATTTATTTATTTTCGAAGCACCCTGTATATCGCTCGTTGCCTATATTAGTATGCCGGGGTGGACAATCTACAACGGTGGACCAGTGACATTGCCCGTAACCTTCAAGTGCCTTGACCAGAATCGTAACCTCGAGACTTCTGGACTGTTGTCGCCGCTTGTCTCGCTACGCCTGAAATTCCACGGTGGGTTTTTGGTATTGCTCTCACAACGTGCGCCTCGAAAGAGCATGTTTGTACGGCCACCTCAGCATACATAGCATTTAGCGATATAGGCACAGGGGGACATTTGTGTGCGGTTCTTCAGGATTTAGCACTGTGACGGTGAGTAGGCTACAGAGTGATAAAGGGTTGGAAACAAAAATGTTAGCTACTTGGCTAGTGTTAGGCAGAGAATACCACTTTAGAACAAGGTTTTTTTTTGTTGTTGTTGCAGTTGATACCTATAATTGACTTGAGATGTTGTTTTAATCTCAGGTATTAACTTGTTGTTACTGTGAAATGCGAAGTGTCGTGCTTGCAATAAACGTCACTACCACTGGTCGCGTTTTTTTTGTTCTGTGTGTGTGTGTGCCGTTGAAGATGTTGATGTTGATGATGCAAATGCGTCGGATCGCCCAATTAGCCGCTCGGGTAGGAGACGATTTGGGCAGCGCCCCCACGGACGTCGCCTGCCACGTGAAGGGAGCTGGCGTGACTCCTGGCGAAGGCGGTGGCGATGTGGAAGGAGTGGGGTGGTGGGGTGGGGGGAGTGGGGGTGAAAGAGGTGGGGGGGGGTGGAAGTGGTGGAGGGTGGAAGAGGTGAAGGCGGGGTGGACGATGTGGGAGGAGGGTGGAATGGGTGGGGGGTGGAAGAGGTGGAGGGGGGGGGTGCAAGTGGTGGAGGTGTGGGAATAGAACCCAGTCTGATTTCCGCGTAGCTACACAATTGCTCGTTAGCGCCGTTTTAAAACCCCTTGCACTCCCCTGCTTTGTCAACCCGCATCAACAACAACAACAATACTAATTTTGATTTAAAGTTTCGTGACTGCAGGGATTTATATTCTTGGTTCTTTCGGTAAAGTCATGTAGAAGGGAAACAATACAATAATAAAAATATAAAACAATAAAATTATCACGACGTTTCGACTGCAACACAAGCAATCATCCTCAGGTGTGAAAACCACAGCAAGAAATTTTGAAAAAAGTGGCGTTTTTTTAACGTTAGCACCACGGAGAGCGATTTGGCAGTTATTCAGATGGACGATGGTTACTCCGACTACACAATCCGCAAAGCTATCACTCCAACCATGAAGAACGACCCTCTTGAGGAGCCATTCAAAACCATCACTTTACCCTACATTGCGGGGATCACAAAAAATATTCATAATATTCATAATAATTCATAATAAAGATTTTTGGGGTCGCGAAAGCCTATGTGTTAAACTCACAAAAAGATCTCCAAAATCTTGAATAAACACAAGATCCAGGTCCGATTCAACACATTACATACAATCCGTGATCTGGTTCCGTCTGTAAAAGATGTGATTCCGGACATACAGTACCCTGGCGTCTACAAACTAAGTTGCCTCTGTGGTAGTAGTTACATTGGAGAAACCAAACGACATGTCTCGGACCGCATTCGTGAACACAAAGCAGACCTAAAACACGGTAGGACCAACACCTCGGCCGTGGCAGATCACTGTTATAATTCAGTAGGTTCACATGACATTGACTTCTCCAAGACAGAGGTTCTTTGCAAGCCATCTGGCTACCATGAGAGATTCGTTCATGAGGCTATCCCACATATACAAACACAGAGACAATTTCAACGGAGAAGATTGATTCTGGCTTAGCAATTATTGGAAGGATTTGATAAACCATTTCGGGTCTTAATTGATTGTTCACGCTTATGGCGGCTTTCAGACCGCATCCATTCTTTTCGTCTCCCCCCTCCTCTTTTCAGAACATAGATGGACTCGTCCAGCTGAATAACTGCCAAATCGCTCTCCGTGGTGCTAACGTTAAAAAAACGCCACTTTTTTCAAATTTTCTTGCTGTGGTTTTCACACCTGATGATGATGATGATTGCTTGTGTTGCAGTCGAAACGTCGTTAGAATTTTATTGTTTTATATTTTCATTACTTTATTGTTTCCCTTCTGCGTTACTTTACCGAAAGAACCAAGAATATAACAATACTAATATCAGGTCAAGGGAGCAACAACTCTTAAACCCAATCATGAGCTCTTTGTGAACGACCCATTTGCGTTGCGATGTTAACTGCCGCGACTTTGACTGCTGTAGATGGACACAGGGATTGTGCATCGGCTTACATTTTGCCCAGAATGCGCCCGATATCACTGAATCTGGGATGCTAAGCTGGTATGACTGGTTAGGGGCCGTCCATAAATGACGTCACGCACCGAGGGGATGGGGGGGGGGTCAGACATTTGTGACGATGTGTTACGAGGGGGGGGGGGCGGTTGAGAAAAGTTTTCTCCTACAACATAAAGAGTGCAGCGCCACATTAAATACGCACTACAATGACAATAGTTTAAAGCGATTTAAAGAATGCTTAATTTGGGGGGGTGGGGGGCAGAGCTTTGTGACGTCATATTTGAGGGGGGGTCTGACTTTTTGTGATGCCGTGTGACGAGGGGGGGGGGTAAAAAATCGTCCAAAATCGCGTGACGTCATTTATGGACGGCCCCATAGTACTTGGACCAGGAGGCTATCTGGGAATAGCAGGTGTTGTTGTCTTTGGCTAGTTGTTCTTCTGTGAGATGGCGGCACAGCAGAGGATTCCTGAATCCATTCTCTGCTTGTTATTCCCCTGGTCATCAACAGGTAGACTGACTTCCCCTCAAGGCAACATTGCCACGGACCCCAGGCTGTGTTCCTGCCAGGGCAGCATTGCCACGGACCCCAGGCAGTGTTCCTGCCAAGGCAACATTGCCACGGACCCCAAGCTGTGTTCCTGCCAAGGCAACATTGCCACGGACCCCAAGCTGTGTTCCTGCCAGGGCAACATTGCCACGGACCCCAAACTGTGATCCTGCCAGGGCAACATTGCCACGGACCCCAAGCTGTGTTCCTGCCAAGGCAACATTGCCACGCACCCCAAGCTGTGTTCCTGCCAAGGCAACATTGCCACGGACCCCAAGCTGTGTTCCTGCCAGGGCAACATTGCCACGGACCCCAAGCTGTGTTCCTGCCAGGGCAACATTGCCACGGACCCCAAGCTATGTTCCTGCCAAGACAACATTGCCACGGACCCCAAGCTGTGTTCCTGCCAAGGCAACATTGCCACGGACCCCAAGCTATGTTCCTGTAAAACTTCACGGAGCTCGTCAATACGGCCAAGGGTGGTGAATGAAGAGCCCCCTGTGTGGGCTTCAGTGGGGCCGTCTGGTCGGGCAGCAGAGACACGAGAGGCCAAGAAACGACATTCCAGTCGTGGGCTGAGCTCAAGGAGGGCTAGCTCGAGCACCATCCTGCGGCGGGGAAAGGAGGTGGTGCAAGCGGTTCAGCCGAGCCCACAACAGCCAAAAAATCTGCTGTCCCTGTTTGGGGGGGCGCTGTTCAACCAAAGCACGTGGGCGAGAAGCCGTGCATGTGTGACGAGTGCGGCAAGACTTTTCTCGCGCTCGGCCTACAAGTATATATTTTTTTCTTTTCCGCTTGTGTGTTAATCTGTGTTTTCCCCGGATATTTTAGAGATGGCAATTCTCCTGCTGTGTATCCTACTGCTGTCCCTCCCGGCCATATCTCGTGCCACACTCAACTCTACAAACAGCTACCCTCGTTACTTTGCGTCCATACTTGTTGCTCGATTTGCCACTACACCTGCTAATGAAAGAGCTCATAGACACTTCTACACTCCATAATTGTATCCTATTAAACCCTATCATTGTCCCATTACTTCATCAGCACTCCTTCCAAACTTCATTCTGCTCTTAAAAATAACACCATCTGCGAGCTACTGCTATTCGTCCAAGGTTCGCCGCTCTTCATCCTTACACAGAAAATACTTGTGCAAACTATTAAATCTACTTTTCTTATTTCTGGGTGGTATTGAGCTTCATCCTGGCCCAAATGAAAATAACTCGTATATTTCTGTAGATTTTTCTGGCAGGAAAGTTGTTGGTGTTCTACATGTCAACATCAGAGGGTTTGTGATTAAATTAAGTCAACTAAAACTAGAAGTGGCAAATCTTGACCCGGACATTTTTTGCCTAACAGAAACATTTCTCACTCCTGCCGTCAATGACTTGCAGATTGCGATTGACAACTACAACCTTTTTCGGCTTGACCGAGGATCTAAAGGAGGTGAAATTGCCATCTATGTTCGTAATACTATTGCATGTTCACTAGCTCACTCCTTGTTTAAAAAATAACTCTCCCAAATAATCAACAGATATTGGTAGTGTGCTGCTATCGACTGCTTAGTGGGAAGGATGTTGAAGCTGCATCTGCACTGAGAGAGCTTTTTGGGGGCCTCCCTAAAGGTGAAATAGTTTTAGTGGGTGATCTAAATTGGAATTGGCTAAACCCGCCGGCCGTGGCCACAAATTTTGCAGATGAATTTAATCTGTTTCAATTAATAAATGTCCCCACAAGACCCAACCTAAAAAATCCGGGACAGTCATCTCTGCTTGACATCCTATTGACAAATGCCCCTCACAATTTCACACTGGTGTTTTGGGTAATAACCTTAGTGATCCTTCATTTTTGGGGTGAGATTATCAGCCAGACCCAAAGCCCCCCCTAAATTTGTTTAGAAGCACTACATGAGACATTTCAGCACTCAGGAATTTACTAATGATTTGCTTCACTCGGATATTGACAAGGTCTGTGATATCCCAACCTAACTACGGCTTGGGAGACCTTCAGGTACACGTTTCTCCAAATTCTTAACAAACATGCTCCGTTGGTTAGATTTAAAACTAAAGGCAACCGCCCACCATGGTTTGATCCTTTGATTACAAAGCTCATGAAAACTAGGGACAAGGCTTGGGCATGTGCTCACAAAAGTAATTTGGTCAATGACTGGCTAGAATACAGGATTTTAAGGAATAGATGCGTCAAAAAAATACGGCATGCAAAAAATGCCTATTTTTCCTCTACTTTCCTGGAATCACATGGAAATGCCAGGATTTTCTGGAAAACAATCAAATGTATCGAAAAGGCATCCAAAACAGACAATCTGCCCGTTGAGCTTAAACGAAATGGGGAATATTTTTCAGATCCCAAAAAAATAGTTGACAATTTTAACCTTAAATTTTGATTTAAAGCTTTCGTGACTGCAGTTATTCATATTCTTAGCTCTTTCGGTAAAGTCACGTTATTGTTTCCCTTCAACGTGACTTTACCGAAAGAGCTAAGAATATAATTTTAACCTTCATTTTTCTGAAGCTGGTAATCTTTTTGATAATGTATTGGGAGTCACTCCTGCTCATGCAAATTCATACACCCCTGTCCAAACATTAAACGAATTTAGTTTCCAGCCAATCCACGAAAGTAATGTTCTGAAACAACTTTCCTACCTCAAAGGGTCCTCCT